ATTGTGTAAACGAACTGCAGTGTTGTGGATAACATGTCCATCACGTTTTCCTGGAGCCAAAATTTATACCTTAACTGCTGTTAGACTAGCTAATTCAGTCAGTTTAAGTGAATCGAATTACATCTATTTATTACGTATGCTACACATAGTTGAATAGCCCAAAATTAAGATTTACGAACGTTATATATATAATACAGTGTTCTGTGGGTTAACTCACCACGCAAGACGACGGTTAATTATTTTTTGACGTCACTGATACATCCTACCTTTAATCCTGTATGAACCTACATGACGAGTTTAGTTCTACTAAGCTGTTTGCAATTGCTATGTTTATTTAGCAGTTTTTCGTTTATTTTACATTGTACAATAAATTACTATTTAAAATAAAAACTTTCAGTAATTGTACAAAAATAAAACTTAACTATAAACCAACTCTATAATTTTTAGTTAGTTATTAATGGATATAGAATATAATTACAAGAAGGTAATAGAACACAAGGGAATCCTCAATAGCCGCGGCGCTTGAAATTCTTTCAGGCAGGATTAGAGTAAATTAATCTATTAGACTTTTTTTTTCCTTTTTCTTTTAGCTACATTTTTGCGCGCCAGCAATACGAAGCGTATACCCGATTCGATTTTATTACTTATCAGGATCTCTACCTGCCTACCTTCAAATTGAAATTCTTTTAGGAAAGATTAGAGTAAATTTATCTATGACACCTTGGGCGTAGTTAAATACATCAATCCAAAAAGTTTGACTTCCTGAGTCAAAAACTGTAATTATATCTTAAATTGGTCAAGAGATGGCGGAGCAATGACCTAAAAGTTTGTACTTGAAAAAAAGAACTCAGAACCATTCTACGAGCCGCTATGCCACAGCTAAAAATATAGATCAGTAGTAGTTAAATAAAGTGACCCTCATATGGCTTTGAAAAAAATATCAACAAATAAACTTATGTGGGAGTAGAAGCAGGACATTACCATCTAATATCTCAAATACTTCTTCAATACTGTAATCTTTAATTGTTCGCACTGCTTCTGAGATTATTTTCCATTCGCAAGAAAGGCCACAGTTTCAACATATGCATTCTTCCACTGGATAGTGACATCCAATACTATTACGTTTTCAAACGCCATTTCTAGTTCATCTTAATACCAGGGTGTCTATGTTTGGGAAGTTTATGGATATGAAGAATGCTCCTCTCATTGAATAAGTCTGAGTGGCACCAACTAAAACATTCCTTGTGGCTTCTTGCATATTTAACCACCAGTAAATTATTTTGTTACACAATTTATGAGACTTTGTTGATACCAAGAGATTGTAGTCTCTAAACTGCACTGACCATTTGCTGGAACACTTTCTACTCTGTATTTGCTTAATTTAATTATAGTTTTTACAGTACTTTATTTACACTAAGCATCCTACAAGTCCTTACTCACGTATATACTTTTTGCTACTGGACCTTCAGCTCTTCTAAATCTAATAGGGGTCCTCTTCACCTTCATGAAATTCTTATTCTTCGCAGTATGTAATTACATATTCATTTCAGGACATCTTTATCAGAAAATTAGAACTGCTACAAACATCTTCACTATAAGGCCTTCTTCTCAGAAAGTCTGCATTGCTACAAACATCTTCATTGCAAGATCTTATTGTCAAAAACGTTAGCTTTGCTACATACATGTTCGCAACAAACATATTACCTGCAGGCCTCCTTGTTAGAAAGTTAGCATTATTACACATATCTCGCAATAAACATATTACCTGCAGGCCTCCTTGTTAGAAAGTTAGCATTATTACACATATCTTCATAGCAAGGCCTCCTTGTCAGAAAGTTAGTATCGTTATATACATCTTCACTGTAAGGCCTTCTTATCAGAAATTTAACATTGCTACACATATATTCACTGGAAAGCCTTTTTATTAGATAGCTGGCATAACTACACACAACTTCACTAGAAGGCCTTCTTTTCAAAAAGTTAGCATTGTTACATACATCTCTACTGTAGGGCCCTCTTATCGGACAATTAGCACCGTTTCACACACCTTCACTGCAAGGCCTTCTTGTCAGAAACTTAGGATTGTTACACACATTTTCACTGTAAGGCTTATTTCTCAGAAAATTAGCATGGATAAACATATCTCCATTACAAGGCCTTCTTGTCAAAAATTAGTGATTCTACACACATCTTCACTGTAAGATTTTCTTGTCAGAAAGTTAGCATTGCTTCACAAAAATTGATTGCAAAACCTAAACACTAATAACGTTTTACAGATATTAATTAAAGTTACTAGATTCTTGATGTCATCATGAACTTTCTAGCTGCTCTAGGACTACTCACTTACTTTATTTTAACATCATGCGTCCTCTAGCAAACATGCAAATTTGAAAAATTAAAACAGCATACAACAATATCAATACCGTGGGACTTTACCTATGAAGCTGCACAATACATCATTCTAACACATTTCCCCATTGTGTCAACATCAGATGTCCTAATTACAACAGTTTCCAGTAGAATTAACTTTGAGCTATTTAACAACAAACTCCTGATGGATTCCACATCTGTGCCAAATTGAGCGATTTTTCTCAAGAAGAGCTTCAGTCAGGTATGAATCTCTTGATCCTATTGGATGTATATGAAGTGACCCCATGCCAGAAAATCTTTGGGTTTTTTTCGGACTACATTTGGGTAAGGCAAATGAGAGAAGTCTTGCGCACCCTCAGCAAGCCGTGTTAAGAATGTCTCCTTTTCTCTTCACTTTACATCTGAAATTAGTTCTTGATGCCTTAACCTGGGAAAGTATTTAAAAAGCAGCTAATTTTGACTCGTGATAAATAATTCCTTCCTTCTTTTGGTGAGTTGTGATGAACAGAAAGACGAATAGCTCACTCTTTATCAATCCATCGATGTATTTAGCCTCAAAGTGAACCTGATACCTTTTTACTAAGCATTCTCCATCATAATTTGCTTTCTGTGGTTAGAGAATGTGGAAGTAGTCTTGTAAACTATGTAGCCCCAAGGGCCGTAGTCATAAAAGCTGATTTTGGATATAAGGTAGATGTAGCTCTAGGAGACATTACTGGGGTGACAACAGTTCTCCAAGTAGATAGACCTGGAATGGTCCTGGGTCCTAATTAGCCAATATTTAATTGACCTGAATGCCAAATAAGTACATTCTTGGTTGAGTTCTTCAGATTTTCTGTTACATCATTCAACTTTGTTGACAATACAGGAAACACTAAACTTTCTGTTGTAAATATACCATAACAGTTAATGGCCATTTTGTATTATAGGAAGGACTAACTTGATTTTTACCACTTCAGTTATTCGAGAAGGATATCTTTATTATTATTATTATTTGCATAATTCATCTTATTATTACTTAGTTGAAGTTATTCGTTAAGAAAGCAGAAATTCTATAAAGGACAATATTAGATAATGTTCACTTTCCTTGATTCTTTTGTTATCAAATCCCTAATGATCTAATTAGATGCTAATTACATATCCTGCTTTGTGGAAGGAAATATTTTACTCATTTAACTGACTAAATTCCAAAAAAGTTGGAATGTGCTTTACATCAGAGTCTTTTTTATCCCACTTTTCGGGCAGATACCCATGTATACCGTCGGACACTTTCCAGTTACCTTACTAAAAATTACCGTAACCGAGCCAGCTAACTCTGGGTGATAGATACTAACACATAAATACAAAAGGGGTCATCTTTATAGAAAAAAATATACCTTTTATATGGACATATAATACAAATTAAAATATATCTTCAGTGTTAATGAAAAGATTACATTAGAAATGAATATTTTACAGATTGAATATAATAAAACAGCTTGAATATTGAAGAAAAATCAACCAGAGAGACTAAATGAACACTTCAGGGAATGTCTTTGGCCAATAAAGGATAAAACAAAATTATTTTTTCAATTCCCAGTATCAAATGTATCATTATCAAAGATTCTCACATGTCAGGAAAATAAAAGAAATATTTCTTTATTTGTTCGAAACCTAACGTCTTCTCGAGCCATTTAACTGATACATAGAGTGATTTTATTTTTGCAAAGTAAATCCAATAACAAGTTTTAAAAAATGTATAGTGCTGTTTGTAATATAGGCACTTGCTAATTATTTAGATCATTTTACGTGCCACGAGTATGGCTTATATGTGTGTTTACAAAAAAGACGTTGTGGAAAAACTGACATTTACCATACTTATGTTAAACTCTTCATATCGCTAACATTCACCTCAAATTGTTAATGAAAGTTATTGTGTTTGCAACGCTACTTAGATAAAAGAAAAATACAGTATTTGATAAACATGCTTTCACTTAAATAATTTTGTTTTTGGAATGGTAAGTTTTTGAGATCTTCCCCTAGCGGATAACGAGGAATTTTTTAATATGTATAAGCAGTGAAAACTGCCAGATATTTTACCTTCGCCGCAGTGTAATACCACGAAAACGAAATAATAAACAACGAAAAACCATTTATGATTTGTAGCATTAAAACTGAGGCTGAGTTATTATGAATTGAAATAAATGTGTATGAGAGAAAAGTGCCCTCCTCCCGTGTTTTTTTTTTTTTGTCCCAGGTTGTCAAAGATATAGAAATTACTCCGAAAATATTAAACTTCGAAAACATTAGACCATTTTAAAAAAAATGTTACCATCTGTGCTGGAAACGAACACGTGAACACAAACTACCTTACACATGTTTTCATCACGAGCACACGAGGACCACGAGTGAACAAGTAGTTAGTTGCCCGAGGAAATAATTTTCTGAGTAAGCAGTTAACCACGCTAAATTATACTGTTTTTAAACCCGGTTTATTAAGTGTAGAGTGAGTAAATTTTCGAGTTCCAAATTTTATTCGGATTATCTAAGAAACAACTGTGGGCCATACAAGGTCATTCTGCATTGCAAAGTGTCTGTCAGTTGGGAATTACGCTCTAGTGAAGAGGAAGTTAATATATACGTTCACGTGCACAATGCGTGACTAGCCCCTGTAGCGTGGTTGGACGATATAATGATTCCTTACAGTGCGCGGGCAAGGTTGCCCGTTTAAACAGCATGAGCTCTTTCTATGTTAAATCCAGTCGAGTTTCGAAACAGCCAGAGAAGTACTGTAGTAAAATGATTCCGCAGTGTACGTTGAAGCAATCGTGCTTAGGAACTATAGCAGACTTTTTACTGTGTTGGAGCAGAAACCCAAGTAGACACAGTCTAGATATGGAAAATGTCAAAGACAACCCATTTTACAACTTACCTATCGACTTGAGACAGGACATGTTGAATTCTTTATTGAATGCTCGACCAGATGGGAAAGAACTACTACATGCTGCTGAGCTCCTAGTCTCTCCTGGCATAGAATCTTTTGACTTAGGATGCATAGAAGATTGTCCCTTCCCTGATGTCAAAGTGATAATGGACATTTTGATCCGCCATGGGCATTCATTAAGAGAGCTTCGAGTCGCGGGTCACTGGCTTTATAAGAAAGAGAGTGTAACCTTGCTTCACAGACTTCTTCAAGCTGCCCCAAATCTGCGTCAGTTAAGGCTTCAACACACAACCAAAACTGGCAAAGAAGTGGAGACAATCGCAGAGTGTTGCAAAAAGCTCCATCAACTGGAAATACTGCATCCTTCTCTTGACGAGTTAGATGTTCAAGCTCTAGCAGAGAAAATTCATTCCAACAGCGCATGTTGGTCGATGTGTGAGAATCTTCATGAAATTAGGGTTCCGTCATCTGCAAATGGACGCACTGTGTTCTTACTACTTCAGTTATTTCCTAACTTGGAGTATATCCACTGCGCTTATCTAGAACAGTTTTTGGACGAAATGGACAGTGCCGAAAATCAAGAGTTTTGGAAGTTACGCTTATCTAAGCTACGGGGGATCGAAACCACTCATCCTCTTGATGATGACGCCGTAAGTAGACTGGTCCAGTGGTGTCCTAACCTCAGAACGGTTTCTCTTGAAGTCCAGGAGGGAATGTCTCTCCGTCCTCTGACACAGTTACCTCACCTTCAGTTCCTTCAACTGAGGAACAGCCCGACACTTCCCGCTTCCTATATTGAAGAGGTGCTTTCTTTGCTCCAATCATGTGGCCAGAAACTTTTGCGTCTTAGCCTAGAACAGTTCGATGTCATAGATCTGGTAAAGACAGCTTATTTTTGCCCACATTTAAGAGGTTTTAGTGCACAGTGGTTTACCGTACTGGGCTCTGGAAATGTGCGAAAAAACTTAGAATCTTTTAGTGAACTCCGATACCTACGACTTCGGCCTCAGGTAAATCGAAAAATCTCAGCAGAAGCTTGCCAAATGTTATTAGCTCATTGTCATGATCTGCGTCATCTCGAGTTGTACTGTTGTTACGGGTTAAATGATACTCTAATGAAAAAACTATTATCTCAAAATTCTTTCAAGCATCTACGTTCTGTTGTTCTGCGACATGGCCATGGCTTATCAGCTGACGGCATCAACTGGTTCATCGGAGCTGCTCAAAAACTAAATGTCTGTGATACCGGAATGGATCCCATAACTCGAGCTTTTGAACAATACCATGCAGCTTAAATTTTTGTATTCAAATGTGCATATATGTTTTGAATTTTGTTATTCAAACACACTGATATGTATTTGTTTTTACATGATCCTTTTATGTGTTTGTTTGAGCTGTGATGTGCTTACACGGTCCTTTTATGTGTTTGTTTGAGCTGTGATGTGCTTACACGGTCCTTTTATGTGTTTCGTTTGAGCTGTGATGTGGGTGTATACAAAATGTTACAATAAGCAGCCGACCAGTGAAAAACGTTTTTGTTTTATGATGAGTTAACATCGATTTGTTCGTATTTTTACACGGTTCTTTTATGTGTTTTGTTTGAGCTGTGATGTGGGTGAGCACAAAATGTTACAATAAGCAGCCGACCGGTGAAAAACGTTTTTGTTTTATAATGAGTTAACATCGATTTATTCGTAAGTGCAAAATATATTTTCAACATTTTATTTTATAATTGTATGTATGTATATATACTTATTACTGTGCATGTTATATTGCACAGGTTTAGTCCATTTAAAAAAGCACTGAATGGGACCAATAAAGACTTGAACTTCGAACTTAAATTTTCTGTTTAGCATTTTAAAACCTGATTAACAAAATAAGCTAGGCCTGGCATGGCCAGGTGGTTAGGCCGCTCGGCTCGCAACCTGTGGGTCGTGGGTTCGAATTCCCGTCCCACCAAATATACTCGTCCTATCAGCCGTGGGGGCGTTATAATGTGACGGTCAATCCCACTATTCGTTGGTAAAAGAGTAGCCCAAGAATTGTGTGAATATTTAAATAACAATTTCCCGATAATTTAAGTATATTGTATCTTGTATACAAGATAAGTTAGTTAAACCTTTTATACATATGATTTCCCTGAGCCTTAATATCCCATAATAACATCAATAGATTCAAACGTAATTTTTGCAACAACAGACATGTGTGCATAAGAAAACTATTATCGCAACTGACGCTTTTTTAATAGAGAGTGTCATTTTGTGAATGCGATAGTTTATTAAGATATTACTTTTGAAAGACCTAATGTCACAGCACCATTCGTTATTGATTTGCTAAGATTGCATGTAGGCTAGTTTATTTGTTTGTATTAATTAACGCAAAACTAAAAAATAGGCTATATGCGCTAAGTCCGCCTCAGCCCACGTGGATCGATCTCTGATTTACTAAATTGCATATAAACTAGTTTATTTATTTGTTTTAGTGTAAAGCTAGACAATGAGCTATATGCGCTATAAAAATAATGCCGATAAACAACATATGATATATATATATATGTGTGCTTTCCGAGCAAAGCGTACTTTAGTCTTCAGTGTGCTTAGACTGTGAATTCGAAAGTTCATGGCTCGGGTCCCAGGGGCCATGAGCGCGCTGTAAAAGTGAAGGTCAAATCCCGCTGTTCGATTAGACGAGAGTTGACGGTGAGTACATTTGTAATAAAGTTTCTTTCACTACCCATTCAAGCCATTTTCAAACTTTATTTTCTAAAAAGTGGGTTCCTCGTCATGAAATAATGGACTATCTGTGCTCTGCCCACCGCGGAAAACGAAACCCGATTTTGAGCATTACAAGCCCCAAGACTTCCCGCTGAGCTACCCGAGAGCAAATTGTGAAAGGAACAAAACATATTGTAATTTGCCCAAAGTATATAGATCATTGACATTCGTAACACTTTGCTGCAATTCAGTCTGATGTGTATCAGTCTGGATACATTCTGTATCTCACAAGTAATAACTGTATTCAGCACGTAAAATATTATTATTAGTGGTATCAAAAACTAACATTATATAGTTTTAAAACACACACACGTTATTTTAAGTGTTTTTTGTGTTGTTTTTTAAAACTAGTGATTTCATAATATATTCAAATATTGAGTAGCTATTTGAAATGTACATATGCAGTAAAAAGAAGAAAATTTGTCTTTCTATAAAACTGTTTCCTCTAGTGCCAGGAACTGAACGAAAAACTACAACAAATGTGTGATTTTTCACATAAGTATTGTAATGATTATTTCAAAGGATGTTTTTTAATTAAGTATAATAGCAATACAATGGAGAGCAATAAGATATATATATATATATATATATTGTGGTTGTTATCTGATTTGAATAACTAAACTTTTAAAATAGTATTCTGTAAGTATTCTCAATATTTCTTCCGGGATCCTTTTATTAGATGGCCAATCCTGGCCTAAAATTACAAAGATTAGTGTGCTCGAAATGTGAATCCAGGGAATTGTGGTTTGCGACTCACTGCTTAAAAACACGTTTCGCACTGTGGCTACACCATAAGAGTGACGGTTAAATTTCACTATTCGATCAGATAAGATAGAAAGTAGGGCAAGAGTTTGCAGTGGTTGCTGTTGGTTACATGTCTTTCAGTTTAAAATCAGGGACAGCTATGCGCAGATAGCCCTTGTGTCACTTTGCGCAAAATTCTGAAACAAATAAGTGAACGACCTTTAATATATATATATAGAGAGAGATTGCATCATTTATACGGGGCTAGAGTGACAAACTAATAACCTGTAGAACAAAACGCTAAAAAACATTTTATTGTGTTCGTAACTTCTACAAACTCGTTTTTTTAATGAAATGTGCCAAACAAATCCATTATTTTTCTGTGGTTATGTAAAGGTACGTCTTTCTTTGAAAATCGATACAGCACAAATGTTTATGCCCTGGACCCTTCTTATATCCAGCAATACTCCTACTAAGGAGGCTTAGTCTCTCACAGAAGACCCCAGTGGCACAGCGGAATGTCTGCGGACTTACAACGCTAGAAACCGGGTTTCGATACCCATTGTGGGCAGAGCACAGATAGCCCATTGTATAGCTTTGTGCTTAATTCCAAACAAACAAAAAATCTCTTACAGAAAATAATGAGTGGACTGTATAGGGCTACCCAATACGGGACTAAAACAATAAAATTTAAACCTTCCAAATCTATTCTTCAAGACAAATTACAGTGCAGATAGGAGTATGAGAAATGTTGTCTTCCTAAATACAGTGGGTGGCCAAAGTCCAGTCTTTGGCGTAACACTGCTGCTTTGATGAGGTGCAGTAGGAGAATTTAGTTTGTTACTCAATGGCTATCTGCGCTAGTCATTCCTAATTTAAAAGTGATAAACTAGAGAGAGGACAGCTTGTAGTAAACAGCTCTAACCACCAACTCTAGATCCACTTTAATCGAATAGAGGGATCGGCTGTCAAATTGTAACGCCCCCACGGCTGACAAAATGGGGATATTCAATGATGGGATTCAAATTCGCAAATTGCGAGTCAACCACCCTAACCACCAAGCCAGTTCAAGCAACTAATGTGTTGATAGATAACTTTAAAGTATTTTTAATATAAAGTTTACATTTCTTGATCATATCATGAAGTTTCGTTTTGATAAATATATTCGAGCTTAGAAGAAAAACTGTAGGATACTTAAGAGCATCAAATAGACAAGTACTCTTGATGGCAAATGAATGATTTTGTGCTTCGAAAAATATCATATCGATTATAAAAAAAGATATAACTCACAAAGTAACCATGTGTATATCATATCTTTTAAACTGCCAAAATATTAAGGAAAGATATGCATATCATCATCATGTTTACATTAATGTCGTAATATGTAAAAACAAACCAAGTTAAGCAACTATCAACTTGTATTTTTATGCAACATTTCAAATAAAACAAACCCTCTTCGTTGTATCAAGGTCAAGTTTTTAATTGGCTCTTTCTACGCTTGTAGCAACAGAATTCAAGCACGAACGTTCACGACATTTTTTTTTAATTTCGCTTGTAAACAAACTAACCTTGAGAATCAAGGACATCCGTGATATTGTAACCTAGATACGAATATAATATAACACATTTAACTGTTTTAAAAGTAGTAACTTTAACTGGTATCAGAAAGTTCGAAGTATAAAGTTCAAAACTGATAGCGACCAATCACACAGTTAATCTACATTAATGTTTAAAAACTTAAGTAATGGCCCTTAGACCGTAATGTTTTACTAAAATATATCATTTAATCAATATCAGGGCCGGATTAGGGATGGGTGTAGTGGGTACATTGCCCTGGGCCCCTTGACCGAGGGAAAAAAAATGACTAATCAAAAACTGGATCTCTCGTTGAGAAACGTGTACTTGTAAGTGTGTCAGTACGACAACAACCATTTTATTCGGTTCATTTATTAATATATAATGTTTCATTAATATGTTCTTACAACTTGTTCTTTCATAAATATATATTTGGCCACTTAAAAAAACATGTTGTCATTACTTTATATTTATTATAAATACAAGAATTAGTATTTTGTAGCGGTATCTCTGCGGACTTATAACGCTAGAAACTGGGTTTCGATATCCGTGGTGGGCAGAGCGCAGGTAGCCCATTGTGTAGTTTTGTGCTTAACTTCAACAAACAAACTGTTACGTCTCCGTTTGTTAATTGATTTCCCGTAAATTCGTTCCGA